TTAGTTTTGCATACTTTGTCTTATCATGTATATTATTCCAAAAGCTTTTCAGAATCTTCATTCAATAACAGCAGGTGTCAACTACAGTATGTGAACGCAAATACTGAACACCAATTGTCAAAATATTCAGAGACCAATGTATCCAGAGCCTTTGGATATTTATTATATATACAGTATATACTGTAGGACTTTCATCTTGCAGGTAATTTGCCATCCTGCTTGGAGACTGCAATCATGCTAGCATAGCAAGAACAAATCTAAGTCATATTGGGAGAGGAGGCAATGCATCATGTTTAGCTTCATTATCAGTTATTGCAAAGTAGTGTCCTAGCAGGAAGTAATAATCAATTTTATTTGAAAGCTTGTACTTTGTTATCGTAACACAAAGACAGTCATGCTGAAGGGGGTTATTTCAGTTGCCGAAAAAGTACTAGACATTTGACACTACTGCTGCAATCTTACTCATTATGCAGATTCTTCCCAGGTGTTATTAGTTTTTAAATGACAAAACTGCTCTGGGGAAACTCTAATTCATTCTTGGACAAGTTGGTTTCCTAATGCTGATGCACAAAGGGGGCTGTTTAAATTTAGTGTGTGACATTGCTATTGCTTCAGATAAGTAAGGAAGGGTCTTCAGAGGTTTATTCCTCTGGGAAAGAAAAATGGAACAATTTAGCAAGTTCTGTTACAGAAATGTCACAGGTTTTCAAGGTTCATTGTGGGTCATACTGTATCTTAAGTTTTGTTGTGTTATCAAGAATCGTGAAATTTGAAGTAAAATACATTGAACTATGTACAAACTATGAAAACATTTGTTAATTCTATCTCAGGTAAAAAACAATGTATACCATACTGGATGTCAGACTTTACTTGGTTTCCCCACTGATTTCACTGAAATTAATGTTAAGTGGGCCTTACTGAAGTGAGTTCAGCAAGTTCTGTGTAGTGTTGTGAGATCAAATGCTCTATTTATGCTCATGATTAATCAAATTTCTTTAGGGCTTCAGAGTTCACATCTAGTATTACTGCTGTGAGTTGACTGCAGAGAACTGAATACATTTCTAAACCATCATAATTAAGTGAAATCCTCAACTTCATGAAAGATCGCCTTTGCTCACTCAGCTCAAATAAACGTTATAGTATATTTAGAAAAAAAATAATTAAACAGAACAGTGCATCTTAAAGCTCTGAACCAAATAAATGACCTTCATGCCAGATCTGTGAAGGAGGGAGATAATTCTATTATTTGAATGTATTACTCTGATCTTCTGTATTCTATTACATTTTTGTATTATAGTGTCCATATGAATATCATCAAAAGATCAAAGTGCACAAAATAACATTTATTATTAGTTGATGTCTTTATCTAAAGTGGCTTACAGAGAGACTAGAGGCTGAGCTTTGCATAATCAAGTAATTTACTATAAGCCCTTGCATCTGAAGGAGCACAGATGAATCACAAAGAGGTTAAGTTACTTGATCAAGGTGACACGCGGTGAGTGACTGGCTGAGACAGGGTGTGAAAAAATAACAAGCACTTCATCTGAATCACTGGACCCTTAGCCTCTCCACATACTGGTTTTATACATTTTTATATTTTAGAAAACCTCAGCAGGCATTTGAGATTAACTGTCTTCACAAACACTGTTACAGACATTAGAATCCTTCCAAATTTAGCAGGTATGGAAAAACTCAAAGGTCCCAAAATAATTAATTCTATTATTTCTTAATCTTCTTAATGCTGCCTCCCCCTCTATAGGAAAGCAATGAATTCCATACACACGTTCTGAAAATGTCTGTTCTTCTTATTTATCAAAAATAATTATGTGAACAAAGTGTAGATAATGTTATAACCAAATGCCCATTTTCCCATGCATTCATGCACAAACCTATTCATTATGGCTGACCAATCATAAGGAGGGTCCATTAAGTCAGGCTCATTTCAGGCACAGATGGTCGTGGTGGTTTTATATCTGCCTGGTGGCCAGAATAAGCGACTTCTATGTGACCTTAGACTTTCAAAGCACATATAGGCAGCCAGGGAGGAAATGAAAGCTTGTTTATCATTTTGATAAACAGCCGCCCTCAATGCTGCAGGATGCTTTGTGTAACTCAGCAGAGCCAAATACTATTAAATTGTCATCAATGACAATGGCAAAAGTCATGTTTTCTTTCCTGAATCACAGTCGGTGATTTTGCAATGTCTACCACAAATCAGGCCTGCTGTTTGTGTTTCCGATGTTACATTGTTAAATCTCTGAGTACCGAAGCCAACATGAAAGGACAAAGCTTTTCTTGGAATGTTGAATCCTGTATTTTTTTTATGTACAAGCCTGGAAATGTGCAAGAGCTAAAATAATATAAAGGGCACAATGCAGCAGAGAGCCTATCCAATTTCCAAATGAAATATCGACTTTTTAGCTATCAACTTTAGTTCAAACCAAATCTAAACCTGTTTAATATGCATATAAATATTCATCTCAATTCATGCAATGTGTCACTATAATGATATCACATTCTTCGGCAACTAAAAAACTTGTGTCTTGATATCAAAGGGAAAAGAAGCAAATAACCTTGAGTTCAGCTGATAAGAGTGGTGAGTGGCTGCAAACAGCATTAATGGGGTGAACTGTGGTACTACATCCAAGGATGTTTCCCAGTCGCGTTATTAAAAATAGTCAGGAAATGGCAAGCACTGAGCTTCAAGCGAGTTTAAACTGGGATACTCAAGCTGTGATTAAGAATGATGTCCCTTGGTACTAGGGAAGAATGTATTTCAGTACAGCAATTAGAAAGTGAGGACATGAAGGAAATAAATAACCTAGACTCATTACAACTATAAATGCAGGTTAAATTAGGAAAACAGGGGAATAGGAGACACGGTGCCACTTAGGAGATAGATGTGTATTATGTAGAGCAATAAATGTTAAATTCATAGCAAAGAATGTTAAATAAATAGCAAAACATAATTAAGGGACTCCAAAAAACCATAGACAGTGCAAGTGCCACTTCTTGTATTATCTTACCTTAAAGCTCCTATTATGAATATGGGCTTAGGGTGCTGTCATGTTCTATGCTCATTCATTCTGTAATATTAAGTGCTGCCAGATAAGATTGCTGTGGGATTGCCGTGGTTTTACATTCACACTTCATCTAAGAGTGGAAGAGAACAATGTATTCAGTTCTTTAGACTGCTTGACAGAAACATGAGGATTTCTACAACTTTTGCAGCCGTGGTATTACTAAACATAAAACAGCACAATTGGAAAAGCAGTTTTAAAATATTCCTCAAGAACACCAAGAGTAGTCAGTCAACTAATTCACAGGGCTTTCAAAGCATGCACTATTAACACCTTGAATTTTAAATTTCCATTTCTTTATTCCATGGATTACATTGTGCCTTTAGTAATGGAAACATTGTTTTCTTAAATTAAATGGTTTCCTTTATACAGTATATTTATATAAGAAACAAAATAAAAATTAATAGAACTATGAAAACCAATCATATCTTTACAAATCCAAAATGTTTCCTTCTCCCAATAAGACTGGCAAGTTCAATTGTAATAAAATCTCCTTAAAGTGCTCTTTCTTACTGCAAAAGTTTAAAAAAATGAAGGTAATGGAAATTTCTTTAGTGTGATTCGTAATTTCTGAAAATAAGGATGTAAATTTGCCCTATGTGAATCAAAAATTAAAATTACACTTTTTGAAAATTCTGCCTTAATTGTATGTCATATTTGGAATTTAGTTTTTTTTTGCTTAGTTTTAGATAAATTGTTTTAGTCCATCTTCTCATTGATTTTAAACTGAATTAGTTGCTCACAACTGGCACTATATATTAGGTCATGCACAAAATAACAGGATAAGTCTTTATTAAACTTCAAACAGCATTAGAATAGGATTAATTTATCTACGAACACGGTGACATAATTGTAGCAAAGTTATTTGGTCAGATGGTTCGAGTTTAATTGTTAGATGAGAAGATGGCTGACAAGCTGAGATGAAAGGTTTTCCCTTGGCTACTTGAGAAATGTGGTGATATAAGGCTCCTTTCTAGCATCCCTGCCAGCAAAATTAGCTTTATGCCTTATAATTGTATGAGGGGACACTCCATTCCCACTGTCATTTTTCAAAGCAACAGACCAGGCTCCAGGAGGCTTCTGCCTGTTCTTCTTGATGAATCTCACAATCTCCCTGTCTCTCTAAGCACTTTGTGTTGATTTCCCTTCACTCCCCTGTTTGCTTGTAGTTATTTTACTAAACCGTGGACAGGACAACATGCCAAAGAAGCATTGGTTTTTTTCCTGGTGTTTTCAGAAGCTGTCAGATGTTTGTTTTGTTTTTTTCTTCTTGTGACAGCGGTGTAACCTCTTTCTGTAATGGTTATTTAAAATATACTCATATGCACAATCGAGATGCTTGAAACTTCCGAAGTGATTTAGAATAACAGTGTCATAATAGAAGGTAGTGCAGCTAATTGCTCTCTATCTCAGATCTTACTTCACAGATCTCTGAGTATCGTTCAATTACTCCTTTGTATCAGTGCAGAGCCCACAGGCTGCATAAGGGACATCTCAGATGATTGCTCCCTTAATGAACCTTTCAGGCCATCCCACCAGAAAAAGATTAGTGTGACTTCCAGGAAGGACACCTTTCTTATTTGCTAATCTGCATTGCAAGGTGAACAGTGATGGCTTTTGTTTTTAAATCTGGAACCTATTCAAAAGAATATCCTCTTTACCTGTGGTTTGTCAAGTTCAGTCATGAGGAGGAATTGCGATCCACTTATTTTGTTTCTGATGTAAAGCAATGACATTTAAAGAAATGTAAAGTAAATAGAAATCCTAAAAGTAGCTTTTTACATTCTCACACAACCATTGACTGCAAAAGCTCTTATGTGCCCATTGTGCTCATTAAAATCGTGCTTTCCTGCGTCACCCCGGAGTTCTTGACTCAGTCTGTTTCAAAGCCCTGGCAAACTCTTTTCTCTCTGTTGACAGAAGGAGGGACGTGTGAAGTTATTGCAGCACACAGGTGTTGTAACAAGAATCGTATCGAGGAAAGGTCACAGACAGTAAAGTGCTCCTGTCTACCTGGGAAAGTAGCTGGGACGACAAGAAACAAGCCTTCGTGTGTTGATGGCAAGTATTTTTTTTCATTATAAATAAGATGGAAATAGTTGTCTGTCGTGCCTGTCGTTTTTGTCTTCTGGTATATTTGCTTTCATTAAAGGAAGATGGGCTTGTATGCAAAACAAAATGAAACCAAACATATTAGCAGATAATGTATTAATAATGTACAGTAAGCAACATCAAAATCAAAGCTAAAATAATTAAAACAACCAACAGTTAAATATGTAGTAGGTCAAATGTAACATCTCACAGTGGGCCTGGCCTCATTGTCTCCCATCAAAAGCAAAACACTGCAGGATGGACTGTATTACTCCACAGTTCCAATTCAAGTTCAAATTAAACTTTCAGCGGGTTTAAGACCACTGTAGCAGTCTCTTTGCATCCACATGTTCAGGTGGCTGCCACGTTAATTGTAAGCTTGTAGCACAAAAACTACAGTGCCCACTGTCACTGACACATCCGTGTGGCCATTTATCTCCTGGGTGATGTCTTAATTGTGATCCCCACCTTCACTGAGGCGTGCAGTTCAATATTGCACATCACTACCGTCATCACAGCCCCAACTGAAGGTGGTCCTACTGCAAGAATGAGTTGGGTTGGGACGAAAAATATCTCAAAACCTTCTGAAAATACAAGTCAAATACCTTTAAGGCTTTAAGGCCCAACTTATAATTCAATGTGAAGGGGTTGCTTTGGACAGCCACATACAGTGCCTTGCAAAAGTATTTACCCACCTTGGACTTTTTCACATTTTATTGCGTTACAGCACGGAACCATGATGTATTTGACTGAGCATTTTTGCCACTCATCAGCACAAAGTACTCTATAATGTCAAAGTGACAAAAATAACATTTTACTAAATTATTTAAAAAATAAAAACAGAAAATTATTGAATGCCTTGCTTTGACAAACCTAACACCTCAACTGCACACAGATGGACTCCAGTGAAGAAATTATGTGACTTGGAGAAGAGAGTTGGTTACTTCAGAGGTACGTTAGGTGTGTCGAAGCAAGAGGGTGAATACTAAGGCATTCAATTCTTTTCTGTTTTTTATTTTTAATTAATTCAATAAAATGTCTGGATTTTGTTTACACTTTGACATATAGAGTACTTTGTGTTAATGAGTGGCAAAAATTCTTATAGTTCCATGCTGTAACACAAAAAAATGTGAAAACGTCCAAGGAGGGTGAATACTTTTGCATGGCACTGTACTGTGTGTTCTGTATTTGGCACATGATCATGATCATGGCTGAACAAATATTTTGATGTTACTGTCTTTTTAAACATAGACACACAGATATACAATATAGACAATGTACTATAATTTCCTGACTAAAGAAAAATCAACTCTTTTTCAAAAGATGTACACTTTTGCAATACTGCATTGTGGTTTCACCCCGCAAAAAAATCTTCATTATATAACTCTTGTTCTGTTATTAAATGTACTTCTTGCTAGAATGTAACTTCAATTTTCGGGGCTTTTGGGACACTTACTTGAAGATACCACTTTCGAAGTTACACACATAGTTCTACTCAGCAAAGATTCAATCAGCCACACTGAATTATACTTATATGATCAACGGCATTAATTAGGTTGGATTTTAAAAGTTAAAGGGCTTTAAATTAGCTGAAACTTAATCAAGTAGCATGGAACGCTATTAATAACATTGAAGGGCCCTTTCATTGTGTATATTAATTAAATATGCAATGTAAATTAAGCTTATTAGAAAAGTCAAGAGCTTGCCCTGAATGTATGAACTAAACCACATTACATCTGTATGTCAGTATTGACTATATTAATATCCTCTTCTCATAATTATTGAACCAAAGGAAAGATGAACATACTGTACAAAAGCTAAAGAGAAATTAGAATCTAAGAATCTCTGGTGTTTAAGGTTTAAGGGGAAAATAATTGGAATTAAAGGGGTTAAACAAATTTGACTTCCACAGCGCCTGTCAGGACCCAGAACTGATCAGCAGGGAGCAATGCAGTCAGAGGAGTAGGATAAGCAGCAATTTTCACAACTGCAAAAGTGCTGACCTCTTTACTCAAGAGAATGACCCTCCTGCTGTTCAAACAACAAAAAAAAGAACACTTAAAACAGGAAGAAAAACTACTTCTCATGAGATGTTGCACTCTAAAATCTTACCTTCTGGAGTGGGAAAAAAGTGGGAATACCTAGAGGACATTGCTCTGGCATATACCTTCACTCCTACTGGCAACCTGTGAGCCAGGTGATGAAAGAAGCATTTGCAGTGTTTGTAGGAGGAGAAAATACCCTGCTCTGAAAGGGATGAACACAACAATTCACAATGAAACTCTGCATATTATTAATGAATATAAATAATAATATACCAGAGTAGACCTGGGATCTACCACAACCCTGAATTGAATGAAGTGGTTAGAAAATGGATGGATAAGTAAAAATAAGGAAATTAAATATTGTTTTAATTTTAATTGTCATATTGTTTCACTTTCATACATTTGAGAAAGAACAAATGTATGTGTTTGCCATGTTGATTACAAAAAAAACTTAAACAGACTTCTGTACATTTTGTACCTTCTAGAACATTCTGGCCAAATTATGTAGGACACATCTTAAAGTGGTACAATACACCCAATATGTTACAGTACCATGAGAGGTTTGTGTGTTTTTTCATAAGGATTGAGAAATATAAAAGGGCCAAAGTCTGGTGAGGACACATTCAACCAGCCATTGTTTAACACTATAAGGACACTGCACACACAGTATTTGAAAGTGATGTCAGAATGTGAGGTTTCTTGACATGAGAACCAGAATAAGCAAACAAGCTACACAGTATACTGTACCAGTGTTAATAAAAAAGGGTAATCTTATGTGGTAGAATTTAAAATTTAGTATTTAAACATAGTGTTCCAAAAATCTGAAAATGACATATTAGTATTCTACAATGTAAAAACGTTTTTATAATGTCACTTTCCACTCCGTCTCAAGATTCTATGTCCTTTTTTACCTTTTTATGTTGTGGAGCTGTATTTTTTCATGATTGTGAAATGTGTACATTTCATGCTGTAAACACTGTGTTATCAGGAAGACATAGACAAGGTTTCGCCACAGTTATCACAATGCTGATAGTCCTTAAGGTGGCTGGATACAAATAAAATTAGATACCACTCCATAGATAGAAGTGTTCCTGTTCATCCTCCAGTAAAGAACAACAATCTTAATTTACATTACCTAAATACAGTATTTTCAAAAATAACTTCAGCAGGCAGCTTCTGTACTTTTTTTCTTCTAAACCCAGTTCCTGAACCATCCTCCCTGATGTGGTTGGTCCATCCTGCTTCATATTTCTGGTTTCTGGTTACATATTGGCTGTCTTTTCCAAATGAGCAGAATAGAGAGAAGCTGCCTGCAAAGCTTTATAAACCACCACTTCAATCGGTTCAAGATTGATCCTCACTAAACGTTTTAAAGAATGAAAAAACTTGTGTAACTGGTCTTAGGTGATCTAAAAACATTGTGGAAAATGGACTTGCAAATGATTTAGAAGTATGCAACAACAATGTGCTACTTATGGGTAAATTTATTTGATATTGCCAAAATTATGTTTAAATACCTTTATTTTTTAGTTAAATACCAAGAAATGCAATGGTGTCAAATTCAATTGGATCAAAATCAAATGCTAACCGCACAGGTTATATTTGGCTCACCAGCAAAGATCATAATAACACTTTTAGAAACAATAACAATTCAGTGATATCACAACAGAATAAGGATAAACACCATCTTGTCAAGAATCCAGCAGTCACAGGTGGCATCATTATGAAAACTGGGAAGCTGGCAGAAGTCATCATCAGATGTACAGGCAGCTCAAAATAACTACTGAGAATCAAAGAGCTGATTCTTCAACTAAAAGGTTTCCAAAAAAACAAAGTAACTGCCAAGTCAAAAAGGCTAGAGCCTTCAGGGAGGGCAGTCTGGAAAGAAACAGTGGAGGAATGAGCCTAACCTTTGACATTCAGCAGCTTCATTTGCTAAGCACAGGAACAGCCTAGAACAGTGATCCTCACAGAGTGGTTCAGCCCTGCAGGCTTTATATACATAAACTCTATAGCTCTGCAAGACCAAGAGAGAGGATCACCAGGATATAACAACTGAGCACAGGGTCATTCAACCCAAAGTCTCTGTCTCATCCTGTAATTCAAGTGATCCAAGTGCAATATACAGCTCATCCTGAAGGTTTCTTAAGAGGTCATATTATCATTTCAAATGTGAAAAAATCTTGCCTTTTCAGTTTATACTGTATATTCCAACTGCCCTTTAGAGGGTGTCTAGCTCACTGCTATCATTTCTGAAACTTTGCAGTTTGTCCTAAAGACAGAAAAGAGTTTCAAGAGGGACATTTCTAAAGCATCACATGTGCAGAGACATTATGACATTCTACAGGAACTGTTCCTGCATGAAGAAACATTTTAACAGTGTTAGAAATGCTAAAGACTTTCAAACACCTCCTTCCATCTTTTCAGCTCAGTAATGTCAGATTCATTTAAGTGTCAGACACAAGAAATGAGTGAGATGGATCAAACCCATTCACCACCCATTATGAGTCACTTTTATTCTGATGAGTTTTGCAACAGATCAGAACCCATTCTGAGTGAATGGTGGGGCACAAAGTGGGGCTAAGACCAGTCAATTAATAGTTCGCAAGTACTGGTACAGTATGTATTTTTCGCAATAGGGGGACACAGGAGCCCATGGAAGTGAACACAGGACTCTAGAGATATTAAGTTGCAATGTGATCCACACAGCCTGAAATTTTTTCCACAGACTGAGCTATCTCACAGACTGATTCCTAAAATACGAAACTAAAAAACTCCAAAATGAATAAGTCTATTTAAGAATATACTACACAATACATATACTCAGTATACAATACCTAATTCTTGAATGTTGATACTTCTGAATAACGCAATTTGGCCTTGATTTTGATAGACGCAATTGAGAAATGTAAAACGTTTATTTAA